AGAAGATATGGATTGAAACATGAAACACACAGCTTATATAAAATCTATGTAATATTACATATGAAAGATATAATCTAAATTCTAATATTAGTTGCTACTAACTTGTACTTCTATTTTGAGAGCAGACTAAATGAAACTGAGAATCTAAGTAAACTGGGACACTGAAAAGATTCCTTCAAGAAAAAATTTAGTGCTAGAAAAAGGACTTACAAGTCCTTTGAAATCAGAGTGCATTTCATGTCAGCACAGAGGTTTCATTCAAGTTTTGCGAGAGGAGCTCATAAATAGGAGATTTTTAAAAACATCCAGATATATTTATAAATGGAATCAATAATAACAAGTTTTCATTTGAGAAGTTTCGAATGAGCTGTTTACTAAATGTGACTGGCATATACTAGAGAAGAATAAAACTAGTGTGGAAAGTTGGTAGCAGGCTGACTCACATAAATCATGATAAGGCTGCTGGAGACCAGTAGAGACCTAAGCAGAAACAAGTTGTGACTTTAATAAAACATGTCTCCATATGGGATTCCTAAGGGGCTTGGTGAAAACCTTTGGAAGCATAAAGAAAATGTAAATCCAGGCAGAGGTATCTCCCAGCATGCTTTCCCATAAGCATTTCATTTAGGGAAACACTAAAAATATAAATGCGAAGGTATTTTGAACAGCATGGGATGAACGGCAGATTAATTGAAGATGCAGACAATGAAAAGAACCACGTCATAACATGATGAAAACATGAGCTAAATCGTGCCCTATGAAATAGAAATGCTAGCTATATTAAGATAGATCTTCAGCCCAAGCACCATGATTTTTTACACAGCTATCAGAACATTCTCTAGATAGGTCTGAAGCAGACTTTATGTGGAAATATCTGCAAATGTTTCCCATCTTAATTTTCCAACATACTCTTCTTTTAAGTCTATCAGCTTACTAAAAGATGTTGAAAAGTCTTGTAACAATAATATTTACCCAACTTGATTTTTATCTATGGGAATGCAAAAAGTGTAGAAAGCCCTCTTTCTTCCCTCACTGGGAGTTGGGTTCTTTGGCCCTTAAGTAATCTTTTGGAGAATTCCTGATTGCTCCATCTGTAAATCTTGAGGAAACAAACAGCTTGGTATTTACTGTGTTACACTGAAAATTTCCCTATCTGCTGTCTGTGATCTCTGCAAATTCAGCTGATGGTTACTGAACGTGGGGCAATTATTTGCTGCTGTTTCTTTTTTTTTTAAGTGAGTAATGGAGTAATTATTGCTTTTTAAGCTTTCTTTTGTTTTTGCAGGGTTAATACAGTCTTAAGCAATTTTTGGTTGTTATATTTCTACCACAAACCAAAAGCAAAACTTTTTCATCTTATCTTCTTAAGTTTTCAAACATAGCCTGGATGGCAAAACAGATGTATTATAGTAGGAAATTATTATCTGCTGCTTTGTCAAAATCTTGATAATAAAGGAGTTTGCTTAGGTAATTTTAACCTATGAATCCATGTTTTGGTACATTTCTAGCAAATACACAGCAATTATGAAAATTATTTGATTTTGTATGTTGTACATATGATGTATTATGTATCATAGTATTTTACAACTCATGCAGTTTTAAGGAACACTTTATTATTATCTCTCCATATCTTTTTATTTTGTGTGTGTGTGTCTATGTATTTACATTTGTGTTTCTACTTGGTAAAATTAGATTTGTAATTTGTATTCCACAAAAGTGGATTAAAGTTATGGAGTAATAGATTGCATGTTAGAGTTTGTGTCTAAGTCTGTGTCTATACAAATAAAACCCATGTCTATATACATAATTTTACTAATATCACTTATGCAAAATAAAGTAAAAATTTTCAGTTCAGCAAATTGACTGGCTTTTCCTTCTCTCTCATTCTTACTCTCTTACTTCTTTTTCTTTCTCTTATTCTTTTACATTGTTCTTTTTTGGCTTGTTTACATGATGCCTAATCTCTAGTTTGATCTGATGTGGAGCTGGGGCTCAATCCCAGGACCCTGACTGAGATCATGACCTGAGTGGAAGGCAGATGCTTAACCGACTGAGTCAGCCAGGTGCCCCTTGATGGAATACTTTTGCTGTCCTATAGCAATGACAGCGTAGATGAGAAAGTGGAGAAAATCCTTTAGCACATTTTAAAGGCACTAAAGATGAAATTAAAAAGTAGATTTTTTGAGAAGTAGTCATTATTAAGATTTACCAGTTTGGTGCAGATGTCTTCACCTGGCTTTCAATGTTGGACACTGATCATACTAACAATGTGTACTTAACACAGTAAGAGGTTTTATATAAAGTTGGGGGTTCTTTGATGATTCATATTATCTACTTATTTATCAAAATCTTGAGAATAAAAGATTCTGCTTAGGTAACTTTAACCTATGAATCTATTTCTTGATGCATTTTTAGCAAAAAAACAAACCCCAAATAGCAATTATGAAAATTAGTCAATTTTGCTTGTTGAATGTACTATGTATGTATTTTACAATTAATGCAGGTTTAAGGTGAGCACTTTATTATTGTCTCTAATCAAATTAATAATACAAATAGCATTAAAAATCCCCCAAGATCAGACTTTTGAATTGTTTTTTTTTATGGTTTCTCACTTCCTTTTGGGAGGAGACCCAGGAAGAACAGCCTGTAAGGTTCACAATTTAAAATGAGAGTAATTGGAATCTACTAGAAGTTTTCATTTCCAAATCTAAGCCCTTTCAAGATTCCATAGTCCATTTAGTATAGCTTGAACTGTTAGTATTTGTTTTGCTTCATGCCAAACTCTACCCACACTGAAATTATTTCACTTCTCAATTTGTGACATGTTTTTGCCTACAAATTACTTCTCCCCCGATATCTAGACCACCCTTCTCCACTCATCCTTCTTCCCTTTGTGTAGCTAACTCCTACTCACCGTTCAGACTCTAGTTTAGATTTTCTCAGTGAAGCCTACTCGAGTTAGGTTAGATAACTCTTTGCTATCTGCTTCTGAAAAATCCTGTATCTTTCCTATGAACATTTTGTTAAAATTTCTTCTCTGCTATCTGTTTTATTTACTCATATAAATTCACATTTATTTATATGAGATCCGCACGATGAGAGACTGCAAAGGGTGGTAAGCCAAGGGAACTTGAATCTGCGGAGGACAACGTGGATATGAAACTCGGGCAGAACTCTGAGGAAGAAGAGGCCCTCTAACAGGATCTGAGAAGAAATAGAGGCAGGGAGAAATCACCTCGACAGGGAAACAACATTTTTAGGAATGGTGAGTACCAGGGTTGACTTTCCTTTTGGTTCCTGGTTGTGCATTACTCATAAATCTTTCATTAATGTTATTACGCTGCACAGTTTTGTAAGGAAGTATATTGGGAATTAGAAGAGAGAAAGAATGGGCTTTGTGCTCCACACCGCAGATAATGTCGACCCATGGAAAAAATGGGAGCTGCAGGTACCTGAGTAGTTGTAAGGAGCTAAATGACATAGCAAAAGCAGGTTGCAATGTGAACCAATGAGTGAGAAAATAGGAGAGGACACTTCCTCCCTCAACATTGTGGAGCTTTAAAAGAAAGTGGACTTAAAATACCCAAAAGCAATAGTAAATGAGCTGGGAGGTAGATAAGTTTGAATCAAAGTTCTAAGATCCATCTTTTTTGACTAGAAATGTAAAGTTAGGCATTGATAAGTTGGATTTCTTGAAACTATGGATTGTTGTTCTTCATCATGTGGTAAGTTTTCAGTCATTGTCACTTCAAATGTCTCTGACCCTTTCCTTTCTCCTCCGCCTGTAAAAATCCAACTAGACATTGGTAAGACCTTATCCCCAAATCCGCCATGTCTTTTCATTACTTTTTCCTATTTACTACCTCTTTATCATTCTGATGTGAATTCCAGATAAAGTCCTTTTGTTTTAGTTCCTGGATCTCTGATTTTCTTTTCAGCTGTGTCTATTCTGGTATAAAACTTCTCCATTGAGTATTTTAGTCAAACTATTATAATTTTTACTTTTAAGAGTTTTGTTTGAATTATTTACAGATATGCTTGGTCTTTAATCATATTCAAGCTTCCTCATCTCATATGTGTCTGTTTTACTCCTCAATGAGCAGAGAAGTGCTTTGTAAAGAGTATTCACTTCCCTCTTTCACTGAGTGCTCAGCTGTGCTAAGCTGTACAAACACCTGGGTTGGTTAATTAAAAATCTGAAGTCAGCCTTATTAGCAAAATGGAATACAAGGTGGGGGGGTGAGAAAATTTCCATCATTCTATGGAAGGGACTACTGTTTGTAAACCATCTCTGGAAAAGATATCTGTTTTTCTATAGAGGTTTGTAATTTTCCACATAATATACAAAATACTAAGGGAAGCATTTATATTTGTTTGTTAGATTTTATTTATTTATTTTGAGAGAGAGAGAGAACCAGGGGATAGAAGCAGAGGGAGAGAGAGAATCCCAAGCAGACTCCACACAGAATGTGGAAAGCTACATGGGGCTTGATTTCATGATCCTGAGATCGTGACCTGAGCTGAAATCAAGACTGAGACACTTAACTGATTGAGCCACCCAGGTGCCCCAAGAATTTATGTGTTTTTTTTTTTAAGATTTTATTTATTTATTTGAGAGAGACACAGAGAGAGAGGGAACACAAGCAGGGGGAGTGGGAGAGGGGGAAGCAGGCTTCCCGTGGAGCAGGGAGCCCGATGCGGGGCTGGATCCCAGGACCCTGGGATCATGATCTGAGCTGAAGGCAGAGGCTTAATGACTGAGCCACCCAGGAACCCCAGAATTTATGTTTTTTAACTCAAAGTATTTTTAATGTAAAAAGATATAAAATAATAACTTTTAAAACTATCAAAGAAAGATAAACACCTGATGACTTTGACAAGAAGTTTTATTTTAAATATTTTATGATTACATCTATATTTCCATACATCAAAAACAGAAAAAAATCTCTTTGGGAACACATAAAAGCATTTTAAACTCAAAAAATAAAGTCAGTGTTTAAAAACACAATAATTTAAGTGAAATTATTAAAATCCATTTGTAAATAATAAATAAGTTTTATCTAGCAAGAAATTACTTTGTTAACATTGCCTGTTGAAGTTTTGCTGTTTTGAGAAACAATTCTAACTCAGGGTTCTGATGATTCAACACAGCACTGCACAACAAGGCTGCCTGTGATAAGACAAGACTGGGAATATCAAAAATAGGATTGCCAGTTCAATGAAAATTTCAGATAAATAATGATATACTAAAAAATTTAGCCATTGTCTGAATTCAAAATGAATTGGGTGTCTGTTTTTAATTTTGCTAAATTTGGCAACCTTGTTCAAAATAGTTCTCTAATATAACATCATTTAATATTAAAATAAATATAAATTCACTACCATCATTCTACCAGCCTATCAACAATACTTCCTTTCCCATTTTTCCAAATTTATGCACACATATTCCTATATTTATTTCTTAAATAAATATATAAATAATAAATAAGCAAACAAGTTTCACTTGAACATAATTCAGATAACATGAGAAAAAGTTAAAGTGCTTCCACATGTCCTCACATCTCTGTGAGGTAGGATGGTGGCTGATACTTTTTCTCCAGTTGAGGAATAAAGAAGAAACCAAGACAAAGTTGAACAGGGACTGGTGCATCCTGGCCAGCAGGCTGGGGTGGAACGATGTAACAACAACAAAATAAATCCAGGATTTTCAGCTAAATTTGAATTTACAGTAAACAATGAATAATATTTTTAATATAAGTGTGCCTAGATATTGCATAGGACAACGTATATGAGACATTGGAAAAAAACTATTCATTGTTTTACTTAATATTCAAATCTAACTGGGCATATTGTATTTTATCTGCCCATCGCACACCAGACCCACACGGAACATGAAGTGCTGAAGTAGATTTCTTTGAAGTCTCATCGGCATCTTTACTGAGGAATTCTTGGAAACCATGGAGAATGTGCTTATTTGTTTAATGATTCCTGTTTCTCAGCCCTGAAAATAAATAAAATAAAAAAATTAATTAACAGTGTTCTAATAAGGAGGAAAGTATGGTTCTTGAATATATATTTACGAGGGAAATGAATAGTCTTAGATATTCATGTGTCAGAAGTATCCTAATTTTCAACTATGAATAGAGAGACAGATAAGTTATCATCCAAGCCAGGACTCTTCTGAGAATGAAAGGGAACCACACCAATGATACAGGGTACAGGCATAAGCCCAGAGTTCCCTGGTCAAACTGAGATGTATGGTCTTCCCAGTCAAGAATACAACTAATTCACTATTGCTACTTTTTTTTTTTAATCAAAAGGGCAGATCCCCAAAAGAGTAGAATTCCAGCAGCAACAGAAAATTTATAGGCTAACTTCTAGACTGTATGTCTCAGGATAAATGAAGAATCAAACAAACAAACCAACCAAAAAACACAACTTACCTCTTCAAAAACATCTGCACAACCTTCTGTACCCATCTTTCCTTGGGGTCCAGGCACACCTCTTTTCCATTGACAAGCTTTACACTGAAATGAGAGAGATATGATTAAATCAGTACTTAGCAGGTTTCAGACATCCCTTTGCCCTTCAGTTTGTGGTTCCTGAAGTACGAGCATAAAATCTGAGTCCAAGTCGTTTTTAGTTACGAGGCATGGAAGTTACCATATTTAAAAGCCATGGAGACAAAGAATCTTTCTTTTCTGTTCTGCCCACTACTGTACTCCTGTACCTAGAACTTTGCTGGATACTTTCACCTTCCTCTGTTATAGGTTTGCTGTAGTTAACATATCTAATCACTTTTGAAAGTACTTACATGATTTCTGAGTTTTCACAATGTGGGCCGCTGTCAATTACTCTCAGTTCTTTGATATATTTGGGATGGAAAGGCGAGGAGTGAGTATTTATGCACTGGCATCGAAGTTCTGAACTCATTCTTGACAGAACTGCGGCTGTGAAAAAATAATAAAAACAAGGATTAATTTCATCCCAAACATGGCTCTGCTAGCTACTCTCTCCTTAATTCCCACCTGATAATATGGTGACTGTATGTTTGGTAAACATCACCTCTTTAGTAAAGTCATTCTTGAGGGAGAAGCCTGGATATTCTCCTAGCCCCTAAGTTGAATTAAAAAAACAACAGCTGTCATTAATGACAGCATTGATTGACTTCCTTCATAAAGACTTGGAGTTGTCTTTGTGAAATGTTGACATCCTTATGGTACTTTTTCTTCTAGTTGATATTGTGTAATCTTCTGTGATACCACAATGCTATTTATAGTATGTAAACTAAGATTCAACCACAGAGAAATTGCCTTCAGAAGGAATTAATAGAAATATGTAAGTTTCACAAAGATGTCTCTTATCTTAGCAAAATCTGTAATGCTTAATGGAAAAGAAAAAAAATGTGAAAACAAACATTTCTAACTGTATTTCTTTCATGGGAGGGATCCAAGAAGATTGACAATTTGTCAGGGTGTCTTTAAATCCAAGAGGAAATGATAGCGTCTGAAGCTTGTCAATAAAACTGCACGTGGAGTAAAGTTACCCGAGTTCCCTCCCTCGATATTAATAAATAATATGGGTAATTGTGGCTCTTCATAAGATATACTCTAGGGGCGCCTGGATGGCTCAGTTGGTTAAGCATCCGACTCTTGATTTTGGCTCCGGTCATGATCTCAGGGTCGTGAGACTGAGCCCTGCATCTGGCTCCTCGCTCAGCGAGGAGTCTGCTTGAGATTCTCTCTCTCTCCTTCTCCCTCTGCCTCTTCTCCCACACACTCTCTCTCTCACTCTCTAAAAATAAATAAATACATCTTTTAAAAAAAGAAATACTCTAAATTGCAGATTTATATTAATGCATTTATATGTATGCATCCTATAGAGTATGAAAAATAGGAATGGGGTGTCTCTATTAATCAAACTTTATACTTTTCTAAGTATTGTAGAGATAAAACCTAAACAATTAAAGCTTCAATTTAACATTAAGTGACTGCAAATATTATTTCCTTTACTTGAATAAAAAGGATGTTTGCTATTAAAGCATTAAGGGCAATCTTGCTATCTGAGGATCCCATTTAGACACAGGAAAACTCCATGGACCAGAAAAGTCTGCTTACCTTCACACAGAGCTGCAAAAAGCAGGAAAACTGCCAAAAGAGCAATAGCCAGCTTGGAAGTCATGTTGACACAAGGTGCCTTCGTTCTGGTTTCTCCCTGGCTCTTGTCCCAGATGCTGGTGAGCTCTGCTGTCCCAAGGGACTTCTGTTGGACGGAGAGCTTCTGTGGCTTTTTATATTATTCAGAGCAGCAGAGAATATGCACCCTCATTCTCGCATTATGTCAGAGGAAATTCCACAATATGCAACCATCCGCCTGCCCTTTGAGAGCAGACTGAGTCATCAGACTCCTCTAATTTGTCTCATCAAATTTTTGACAGGATCGAAGTTCTATTGGATCTTTAACAGAATTTAATTTATTTTATTTAAAAATATATTTGTTTTAAAACATGTTTAAAAACCATTGTTAGATAATCAAGCTTCTTTGATACATTATTATCAGTTGTACTTTTTTATATATAAATAAGTTTATTGTTGTACTATCTGGCAGTTGTTAGAGTAAGGTCATTTATGATTACCCTTTTAGGGCACGGTCATTTCTTTAGGTAAATTATGTGTGCTGCAGTGATAGAGAAAGTAATCTCGTCAACCACTTTTATTGAAGACATAATTTTGAGAAGTCTTTTTCTGAGTGTTTTGGAAAGTTTCCAGGAACTGTTACCATTCCCAAGGAGCATATTACAACTCTTCACAAGGTTTGGCTTTCTAATGTATGTTTGAAAGAATGAAAAGGCACATCTTCAGTTCCAAAAATATTTATCAAGTAACTTCTGAGTAATGTGGGGATCTAGAGATAGAGAAGACTAAATACTTGTTTTCAAAGAGTTTGGTCTATCAGAAGAAGAAAGTGATATAAGGACCTTACTGTAAGTGGTACTGATATGTTAATTCCAACAAGGGCATAAAGACAGAATATTCCATAAGCAGTGTGAGCAGGATGTTGAAGGATGAGAAGATGGAGAAAAAGAGCACATTCTACATAAAGACATGGTTCAAGGACAGGTGAATGAAGATATGTCTATGCTCTAGGAAGCGGTTCACTGGGGTTATTAGGTTGGGGTGGGATGAAGTGGTATCTAATGGAAAAGTAAGCAGTGTATGCTTGGTGGATAAAAGTTCAAACTCTGCTTCAGCCACCTAATTTTTGTATGACTTTTAAACTTTCTGACTTCCGGTCTCTGTATCTACAAAATGGGTTTAATAACACCCCCATCTCATAAAGTTAATTTATATAAACTTCCTGGCTTAACTTTTAAACTAGTAAATTCTCACTTATTCCAAATGCTGTGACTTATATTTCTCATCTTTGTCAGATTACTGATTTCCATACTGCAAGGATATTCAACCAACAGTTGTTTCCTAAAAATCTCATTTGCCTTAGAGGCATTCTTGATAAAAGATCAGTTTCTGAAATACCAGTTGAGCCAGCTTACAGCATGCAATATAACAATATAATAAAATAGAAACATCATCAGTTCCAGTTATCATTTGCTAAAATTAAAGCTCCAAATAAAAACCTGACTGCATTAGCATTCAAGTTGCCCTCTCAAATGAAAATCTGGAATATGGAGAGTCTTGAAATCTATAGAATTCTAGAACTCCTGAGGAAGTAACTCATTTAAACTCTGATACAAGATTTATTTTTTTAAGATTTTATTATTTATTTACTTATTTGACAGAGAGCACAAGCAGGGGGAGCCAGAGAGGGAGGAGCAGGCTCCCCACTGAGCAAGCAGCCTGATGTGGGGCTCGATCCCAGGACCCTGGGATCATGACCTGAGCCAAAGGCAGATGCTTAACCAACTGAGCCACCCAGGTGCCCTGATAGAAGATTTAAATTAAAACCTTTGACAAAAAATGATTGAAAATTAAAGCAACAGGAATAATGTTTCAGAATTTGAGCATTTGAGGTTTGGGGAGAAAACTTCCCTTGCTGAAAGATTTGTGTGGTGACCTCAGCTTAATTTCTTCAATATCACTTCAATTTACTTGATGTCAGTGACAGTGTGTGTGTGTGCATGCATGCGTGTGTGTGTGTGTGTGTGTATTAATTAATCCCCACAGCAATACCATAAGTAATAATGCCCTCATTTTACAGATGAGGAAACTTAACAATGTCTCCAAGTTCATATATCTAAGTAGCAGTGTTGATGTTTCAAAAACTTACTTGAGTTAGCCCTGGTCTAAAACCACTTTCACAAAGGGGGGTTGAAAGAACTTTTCTTGAGGACCCTAAGATACAAAGCCATCCTTTTATGACTCAATGAAGTTTCTTACTCTCTCCGTTGATCCTCAGAGATTAGTCTGGGTTTTGTTTTGTTTTCAGATAAAAGACACTAAGAGAAGGACTAAAACTCTGTCCATATCTGGGCAAGTACACAATTTATAAGTAATTCGGTTGATTCAACATCTTTCTTATTTCCCAGGAAGCTGGCTAAAGCAGTGAGCTTGTCTGCACAAGTGTGTGGGGATGGAAATATCATGTTTGAGTGTTTTCCCAAGAGGTTATTCAGTTTCTTAGTACAGGCATACATCGTTTTATTGTGCTTTGCTTTATTGCTCTTCACAGATACTATGTTTTTTATAAATAGGTTTGTGGCAACCCTTTGATGAGCGAGTCTGTAGCTGCCTTTTGTTTAACAGCATTTGCTCACTTTGCATCTCTGTGTCACATTTTGGTAATTCTCACAATATTTCAAGTGTTTTCATTATTATATTTACTGTGGTGATCTGTGATCAGTCATCTTTGGTGTCACTACTGTAATGGTTTCAGAATGCCACAAAACACACTCAACAGATGACAAACTTAATCAATAAATATATGTATTCTGACTGCTACACCTACCAGCTATTCCCCACCTTTCTCTTCTCAGGCCTTTCTATTCTCTGAGACACAACAATATTGAAATTAAGCCAATTAATAATACTATAATGGCCTCTAATTATTCAACTGAAAGGAAGGTTGCATGTCTCTCACTTTAAATCAAAAGCTAGAAGTGATTAGTGAGGAAGACATGTCAAAAGCCAAGATAGGCCTAAAGTTAGGCCTCTTATGCTAAACAGTTAGCCAAGTTGTGAATGCAAAGTAAAGTTCTTGAAGATATTTTGAAGTGCTACTCTCGTGAACACATGAATGATAAGAAGAAAAAGAGCCTTCTTGCTGATATGGAGAGAGTTTGAGGGGTCTGGATAGAAGATCAAACCGGTTACAACAGTCACTTGAGCCAAAGGGGAATCCAGAGCAAGGCCCTAATGCTCTTCAATTCTGTGAAGGCTGAGAGAAGTGAGGGAGCTGCAGAAGAGAAGTTGGAAGCTAGCAGTGGTTGGTTCATGAAGTTGGAGGAAAGAAGTCATCTCCACAATATCAAAGTGCAAGGTGAAGCAGCACGTGCTGAGGAGGAAGCTGCAGCGAGTGATCCAGAAGATGGAGCTAAGATCATTCATGAAGGTGGCTACACTAAATGACAGATTTTCAGTATAAACAAAATAGTCTTCTATTGGAAGAAGATGCCATCTAGGGCTTTTATAGCTAGAGAGGAAAAGTCAGTGCCTGGCTTCAAAGCTTCAAAAGACAGGCTGACTCTCTTGTTAGGGGCTAAAGCAGCTGGTGACCTTAAATTGAAGACAATGCTTATTTACATCTCAAAAAGCCTAGGGTTTTTAAGAATTATGCAAAATCTACTCTGCCTGTGTTCTCTGAATGGAACAACGAAGCCTGGATGACAGCAATCTGCCTACAACATGGTTTACTGAATGTTTCAAGCCCACTATCTAATGCTTAGGGAAAAAAAAAGATTCCTTTCAAATTATTATTGCTCATTGACAATGAACCTGGTTCCCCAAAAGCTTTGATGGAGATACACAAGATTAATGTTGTTTGCATGCCTGCTTAACATAACACAGCATCCATTCTGCAGCCAAGGATTAATTTCAACTTTCAAGGCATATTATTCAAGAAATACATTTCATAAGTCTATAGTTGCCATCGATGGTGATTGCTCTGATGGATCTGGGCAAAGTAAATTGAAAACCTTCTGGAAAGGATTCATCATTTTAGATGCCATTAACAACATTCATGATTAATGGGAAGAGGTCAAAATATCAATATTCACAGGAGTTCGGAAGAAGTTGAATCCAACCTTCATGGGTGACTCTGAGGAGTTAAGATTTCAATGGAACCAGTAACTGCAGATGTGGTGGAAATAACAAGAGAATGAATATTAGAAGAGAAGTCTGAAGATGTGATTGAATCACTGCAATTTCATTGATAAAACTTGAATGGATGAGGAGTTGGTTCTTACGGATGAGCAAAGAAAGTGGTTTCTTGAGATGGAATCCACTTTTAGTGAAGATGCTGTGGCGATTGTTGAAATAACAACAAAAGATTTATAATGTTACATCAATTTAGTTGATAGCAGCATCAGGGTCTGAGAAGAATGACTCCAATTCTGAAACAAGTTCTAGGTAAAATGCTATCAAACAGCATTGCATGCTACAGAGAAATTGTTCATAAAAGGGTCAATCAATGTGGCAAACTTCATTGTTGTCTTATTTAAAGAGACTGCTACAAACATCCCAATCTTCAGCAACCACCACCCTGAGCAGTCAGCAGATCATCGAGGCAAGACACTCCATCAGCAAAAAGATTTAACTCACTGAAAGTTCAGATAATAGTTAGCATTTTTTAGCAATAAAGTATTTTTTAATTAAGGTATGTACATTGTTCTTTAGACATAATGCTATTGCACACTTAATAGACTACAGTATAGTGCAAACATAACTTTTATAGGCACCAGAAAACCAAAAAATTTGACTTGCATTATTGTGGTGATCTGGAACCAAACTCACAATATCATTGAGGTATGCCTATAATCATGTTTCTTTCTTTTTCTTCCTCCCACCAACCTGACTTGAGAAGTAAATAGTATGTGAGTTACATTACCTTTTGTAGCAAAGTAAATATTTATATATAATACAGTTCCTATTGTTTTTAACTCTACTATTTCAGGAACGTGATTGTTCATTTAATCACTCAGTATATATCATTTGCTAATGCTAGGTATTGTAGTGGGAGATGTGAATACTATGTAAATAAGATATTGTCTCTGACTTCAAGGAGTTTCCAGTCTAGTGCAGGGTATGGATAATTAGTTATACAAGCAAGTACAATACAGTGATGGGGAGCAAGTAAACAGGACCTCTGATGCAGTTTTGATGAATGGAAGTTTTCTGAAGAAATGACT